TTTATCATATATTACTTCCAATTTCATAAAAATAAATAAATTATACACACACACACACACACACACACACACACACACACACACACACACATATTTTTTTCCTACTACATTTCAAAGATTAAAGTTCCTAAATCTTTCAAAAAAATTTGAAGGATTCCATTGTATGCTTTATATAAAATCATATAATCGCAGTCGCATTTATAATGGTTTCGTGCTGCTCAAACGTATATAACATCCGACATTTACGGTACACAGCGTATTAATCTAACTATAAAATCTGTTCTCAGCAAACACGAAGTTTCGAGTTCAAAAGCTGGATCGAATATTATTATAATTATTCTTAAAAAAATTCTAAATGTGAAATTTTTCTGTACAAATTCTACATAAATGATCTAATTCTTGCACAATTGCATAATGCCAATAAATTTTTCAAATTTTATCGTAATGTACAGAGAGAGAGAGAGAGAGAGAGAGAGAGAGAGAGAGAGAGAGAGAGAGAGATGTTTTTGCAGTAATATATTGTTATAAAAAAGTATTTAATAAATTTCAAGAAAATATTGATTTAATAAATTGAAGTCTATAAATAACAAGCGATATTTAGCAAGTAGATATTTTTGTCCGAGTTTGTAGCTAGTGTAATAATGGGATAATTTTCTTCTCCTTGCATGAGCACATAATCACCTGATTGGTCAAACCTCTACCCGAATAATGTCGTAAGTAGTGACCTACAGCTGTTTACGATCAGTCGACAGTAGCTTACAGTATTTGCGTTATCAATTTTTTAAATAGACCACAAGTCTGTTTTTCAGAGAATTCTAACAAAAAAGTTCCACACTAATTACGCTAGAATATAAATTTAATTAATATTTTTGTTTAAAAAAGGTTAGAAATTAATCACAGTTGGATGTAAATTTTTATTGTACTTCTTATTACTGTTAATACGTTGCAAAAATCCTTGAAGAAACTTCTCTTAGGTTTCTCACGTTTTGTGTGAAAACGTCGCGTGCAATTATATTGTTTAGGACGCTGACATTCACCATTAAAAAATCGATAAAATAAAGTAGGACACATGCACGTGTGTGAATTTATATCTTCTTTTTATTTTTATAGTTCATTTGAATAAATTAGGGGGAAATAGTTTTATGTCACAGTTTCTTTTAATAACAGGTACATACATATACATACACTATATTCATTAATTATTTTTTAATGAATTGACATTCTCTCTTTAAAACAATCTTATATAAAAGATTATTATTGTTAATGTTTGTTAATGTTTATTGTATGTATTATTGTTAATGTTTTTATACCTCTTCTACATATAATGTAAAGTGTGTGTTTTTTTATCCTAATCAATATCACTTGTTGATTATTTTATTATGTTATATGCAAATGGCTTTATGCGAAATATAGTACGCAATATAAATAGTCAGAAAACTTTCTTTGACTATATTATTACATTTGATGTACAGGACGATAAAATGTATAAATGAGTCATTTTTGTATAAATTTATGATGATATTTACACACAAATTTGTATAAATAATGTTCTTAATCTTATTCTATTATTATAATCATGTCATTTTATTTATTCATTTTTTTTCAATTGATAGTGATATTTAACAATAAATTGATTGTAATTATATTTAGTATTAAATGTTCTCAATAAATCTAATAAATTCGAAATAAATAAATTCGAAAATTTTGCAAAATTTAACAATTAATAATTTTTTTTTTAAGAAATTTTATTCTGGCTTTTATGAAAAATTAGAATTTGGTAATAAACAAAATTTAAGTTTTTATTCTGGATTCTTACGAAAGAAACGTTTCTAATCTAATAATATAAATATCTAGTATCTAACGTAACTGTACAGCATAAATATTCTCTTTTGATAGAACTAGAAATCACGTGAAGCCAATGTGCATTACACACTTATTCTTTCATATGCGGTCATTCCCTTTATCGTCTATAAGTACAGTAATCTATAATCTACTAAATCGCTGCTGTATTATCTATGTGCTGTACTTTTCCAGTTATTGATATTCTTTTTCTAGTCGTAAAGCTTAATCCTAATAGTTTCCTCAGAATGTGTAAGTTAGCTTATAGAAAATTCTTTTTTCTATAAGCTGTCTATAAGGTGTCTATCTTTTTATTCCAGAAATTAATAAAATTGATTTAGTGATTAGTCTTCTCCAGTTCTTCAACTGGAAAATTATTTTAAATATGTTTATTAAGAATTGTAAGTTAAAAAAAAATTTCCAAAAGAAGAAGAGACTTCTAGTGATATAATGATGATTGAAAAATATTTATAGTGAAAAAATCAAAGATATACAATGTACGAGGAATAAAACAAAATTTTCACTTTAATATGTATGTACGTCTTTTATAAAGTTGAAAGTTCACACTTTTGCTTAAGCTTAGCACAGTGTTAAATATGCAGAGCATACCTTACGTAAGGAAACGAACATAATCTGTATGTTCCGTATCATACGCTTGTAATGTACCGAATCATTAATTCAGAGAATGATTAGAGCATATATTTGCACGATATCGTTAAACATAATGGTTTAATACACTTGTTGCGTCAATAAGATGAAAATTTAATGTGCAACTATAAATATAAAAAGATATTTTTTATTAATCACGCAAAGTGGCTCACAATTATTATTAGGATATAATTATGACTTCATATCACATTATTATGTTAGAGAAATAAATTAAACTGCTTGATAATGAAATTATGATCAATTCTAATGTATTTAAACGAAGACGACAAGGATTATGCGTATTACTTAATTATGTGTATCTCCTAAATTTTTTGTAGAAGAAATTTTACTTAAAAATTTATTCGAGATCTGTAAATTTGTCGATGTTTGCTAAGCAATTTTTCGAGTTTCAGAACAGTCTTTCAAATAAGGTTAGTCATGTCATTATCATGTCGTAACATTATTATTTGTTATCGGAAATGATTATACTTACATTCGAGGATTTCTGTATTTCTTTTGAATGTGTAATATCGCTCTTGGACTCTTTACGAAAGTGTAGGTCTCCTTCTTCTGTGTATCGAAGGGTATATCGTAAGACTGTAACCCCCGATTGCACATTCTGCACTGTTCCGTTGTTTTTGCAATCATTGTTAATTTTTCTCGCACAATTGCGCAGAAATTTTACTTTTGAAAATATGATACAGTATCACGCGATTTTTAGCCCTTTATAAAAAAAGATTTCTCAAGGCGGTTCTTGTTCACTACGGGACTGATTGAATTCTTAGTGTTTGTTGTTATAGAAACGGATCAACGCCGAAATTTATTGACTTGCAGTTATTCGTATCCAAGATACGTAAATTATATTTCATGAATCTTATTTGTTATGTATATGAATCAGAATTTTGATTTATTATTTATGGAAAGAGAAAGGATATTATATTTAGTTTAATTTAAAAAATTTTATATATATATAAAATAATTCAACTATTTAATAATTTAATATTAATATACGCGTATAAAATATAGAATATATGCACATACATATTTATGTATTTTAGATATAAAATTTTGTATAAATAGTAATATTTTTTTTTATCATCACTATTTTATTAATATAATTGTGGTGTAATCTAGCGGGGCAAATTAAATTTAATTAAAAATTTGTTTTGACTTATATATAGAATTTTTTGAAGTTGTTAATTTTAATACAATAAAATAAAATGTAAATAATTAAATAAAATGTAATTACAATGTATATTAAAAAATATCTATATAATTTAAGAAAAAAATGTTTATTGAAATAAATTTAGCTATTCTAAGAAAGGTCAGTTTCTACCCGAAATAGGTAGATAAGTCAAGTCGATAAGTATACCTATATTGGATAAAAGACCAATCAATACTTATATACCGAGTGTTAACTCATACTTTTCTGCTTTACCGAGTTAGGTAAGTAGGTATCAAGTTGCGTCTATTGCCGACAGTGGCGCATCAAAGTTAAGCGGTAAACCACGATGATGGATTAACTAAGTGAAAATTTGAAAATACAAAATAGA